CTCTGTCTTAGTTTAAGCATACAAAGGACAGAAAAGGGAAATAGGCTAATACTATGAAGGACTGCGTGTATTAGAGCAATGATATAAACAGGGAGGTAATTTAAACTTGTTTTTACTCTAGCAAATGCAGACTCTTATTTTAAGTTGTTAAAAGCATCTGAAGTTACTGGAGATTTAGCGTCATCTAAAAGGGATAAGAGAGGAAAGGAATCTCTGACAGAGAAAAAGAGATGCAGAAGGGGTCCTAAAAGGACTAGGCGGGCAAAAGAAGGCTGCAGGACTCGCCTCCGGGCAGGCGGCGCGGAAGAACACCACCGAATGGCAGTCGGAGGCCGGGAAGCCTCGTCCCCCGGCATGCCGCGGAGAACAAAGCGCCCGGTCAGCGGCGCCGTGCCGGAGGACTATATCTCCCGGCATGCAGTGCGCGCTGCTGCGGGCGGTGTGACGCTGGGAGCGGTCTTTCTCCCGCCCAGAGCCGGCAGCCGCTTCGGCGCTCCGAGCCTTCGGAGCGGCCGCCGGCTGCTCCAACCCTTCCTCGGGGATTCCTCCGCGACTCCCCGCCTCGACACGACCTGGCCCAGGTCCGTGTCCACCTGACCTCAGGCTACTACGACTCCTTAGTAAGCTCCCCGCCGTCGGCCGCCTCTGGCGCAGCCCCGGCGCTCCGGCAGCCTCACCTCGCTTCCGTGCGGCCCCGCCGCGATCCCGGCTCCCCGCCAAGGCGGTGCGCCGCCCTGCTGCGGCCCCGGTACTGCGGCTTCGCTTACGACTCTAGGCTGTTTCTCCCCTCGCTCGTTGCGTGCTGGGACTCCCAGCTTTTCTGTCAAATTGCCCGCGACGTTCCCGTCTGCCCCCACCGCCCCGGAATGGGCGGGGCCCGCTGCCCGAGCACAAAGCCGCCATCAGCGCTCGCCTACTTCACGGTTGCAGCCGTAGTTCTGGTCCTAGCCGGCAATGTTCGGCAAGTCCCTGGCGCACGACTGTCCCTCGGGGGGCAACGCACCCCTGCCCGTCCGTCCACAGCTGCAGTCCGGTCCGCCAGCCCCTCGGTCGAGAGCTGCTGTCCATCGGGAGCTGGTGAGCCACCGCCATTAGCCCCATCAGATCAGCCGGGCCTGCCAAAGCAGCTGAGGTGTGCCCCACCTCCTGAAAATGGCATGCTGAAAGCTAAATAGAGGAACCTGGATTGTGCAAGGAGAAGTAGTGTTAAGAGGACAAGAGAGCAAATGGAGAACTTTGCAGTGCGACAGAAGGGTAAAAGAGAAACGCCAGGGGGTGACACACAACTGGATGACTCTGGGAGCACAGAAAGGCAAAAGAATGGCCCGGTGGCATGCCAAAAGGAAATTGGAAAACCCTGAGGCACACCAAAAAGCACGTGGAAAAGTCTGAGACAGAAGGAAGGCTAAACAGAAGACTTTGTCACGCTTTGCATGACAAATGGCAGGCCTTCCTACACACCAAAACGCCCCTAATGCATGTAATGGGGCTCAGTGGGGCTGACAGGAAGTCACCTGTCCCTATGGAAATTCCAACCCCCACCACCGAAGGCCCCAGCCCTTGGCGCCAGACACACCAGGAATGTCTCAGGAGCTGATGGATAATCCAGGACCGGCTTTCAGGACCCTGCACGGCACTGGACGGATCCTGGCAGCCCCCAGGGTGATGCAAACAGTTCCTAACAGCCAAATGTCTGTGGCAATGTGAGAGAAATTCACTGCAGCCCTGTGAACAGCACAGGGGTTGCTCTAGAACCTTAAGGAACCTTAAAATGGTCCAAGAGCCCTTAGGACTGGTCCCCATCTCCTCAGACACAATGTGTAACGTGGAGCTCAGTGTTGAGATGCTTTTTACTGATTGCAAAAGCTTGTGGGAGCTCCACTCATGGATGATGACATGGCGTGTCTGTCGGAGACTGGGTGCTGAGACCGGAGGAAGCTGGGTGTGTCCCCCACGGGGTGGTGTTAACACTGGGCAGTGTGTGAGTCCAGCCCCACAGAAAGGAGGCAGGCAGCCCACATCTTGCTCACTCAGACACACTGCAGTCATGCCTTCGGAGCACCTCTGGGGAAGCATCCTTGCTGAGGGCTGTTTGTGCCATCTGAGAAAGGCACAATGACATCTAGTGCTTGGAAGCAGAAATGAAGCATATTCAGACTGAAAAACAAGTTTGTTTTTCCTCCGTGGGAGGAATCAGCTGTTGGAACAACTTGTCCAAGGAGGTATTGTATTTGCTAGTGTTTGGAGCTTTCCAGTCGAGATTATATATCTGTATAAAATCAAAGTGCTGTATTTTATGACGATATGGCAGTTTGGCCACTATCTTTTGTCCTAAGTTTAGCTAGCTGAACGTACTCGAGGGCAGTAGGAGTTTACTTCTTTCTAGTATGCGTGATCCAGAGTTTGTTTCATGAGCTACCTGGGAATGACAGACAGGTGGGAACTGAAAATTTGTCTAGAGGAGTTAAGTCAGCATCACAGGCCTTGAGACAGCAAAGGGTATTTGAGGGAGCATGTTACTAAAACCCTAGCTGTATGCTCTTAGCTAACAGGCCCTCCCTGAAGATGGAAATTGTCACAATGCCCATTTCTTTTAGGACAGGACCAATCCATTTTCTCCCGTGAAAAAGTTCCTGCCCTCTGCTGCTTGCCCTTGGCCTGCATTTAATTCAGTGCCTTCCTGATTTGGTAACTTGGGTGTCAGTGAGGCTGTGCTGTGACATGTTACTTCTAGCTTGCTTTCTTTAAACAAACAAAAAAATCCCTCCATCCTGGGGATTATCTCTGTTACCTAGTTTATACCGTGACTGCTCAGACCATTGTAGCAGCTCCTTGAAGAGAAAGGTGGATAGGGCAGTGAGAAGGAACTACTTATCCTAGCTTCACTGCCTGAGCAAGTCTGCCTGTGTACTTCACCCTGAGGCCAGAAAGAGAGAAGTGATTTGCCCAGAGTGGCTGAGCCAGCCTTTGTCAAAGTTAAGTTAGCACTTGGCCATAGCTGGCTTCTGGCCTGCAGGCAAAATGCCAGTACCCTGGCTCAGTTTGTATGTATTTGCAAAGTATAGCACTGAACATCCACTTCTCTGCTCCTGCATCCAAAGTAAGGGAGTTAGAATATGACAAGCAACCAAGAGCACTTTGCAGATTTATGGTCCTAGGGCAGTTTTACTCAGGCTATCAGGGCTTTCAGAGTTGTTTTGAGAGAATCAGAAGATGTGATGAAGTCACAATGGCTGCGTATGTTTGAGGCGAGTCACACAGTATCATTTTAGCTGCATTCCTCAGCTTCTTTCTTTGGCTTGTATTGTAGGTAAGGATTACAGTTATTCTGTGGGCAGTAGGTCTGGATTAAGAGGCTCTGACCTGCCTTGGAGGGAGTTAATGTCCCGTCCATAGTTCTGTGGAGGTGTGTAAAGTGATTGAGTTGTAAAACAAAACACTTGGGGAGGAGATTTTTCTTTTAAAACCAAATAACTCTCTAGATGTGCTCTAGCTGGCAGCCCCACACAGCTGCTGAGGCTATGGTAACCTTTGCTCCCAGGGGACAGAAGTGTGCAAAAGGAGGTGGTGCTAGTGTGCAAGTGGCCTTAGGAGCCACTGCTGAAGGAAGTACTGCTCATTCAGATCCTTGCAGCCTGATACATCCTGCTTGACTTCCGTGTGCTGTGTCTTGACTGAGGACAGAGTCCATGGAAGCTTAGGTTCAGTAATACTTACCTTGCGCTGTCTTTTGGACACTGGAAGGTTTTGCAGACTCTTGCTTGCTGTCTGTTTAGCTGTCACTGGCCTTTCTTGGTGTGGGACAACCATGATGGGGCTATCAAAACCAGCTTTTCCAAGAGCTGTTTCACTGTAGCTTCCTCTGTCTTGACTGCCAGATTCACACAAGAGACGTGCCTGCTCTACTTTATTGCATGGGCAAGGGATCTTTCTCACAGAGGCTTTTCTGCATTGCACATTTACTTAGCCAGTCTCCTCTCTGGAGAGAAGGCAAGGCTTCTTGACTGTTAATAACCTTCATTTGGAGCCAGTTGTTGCCTTTGGAAAATTGTGACGTGGTCGAAGGCTGAGCCTACCCTTAGAAACACAGCATGACTGACAAGGTGATCTGTGGAGCATGTGCTATCTCCAGAGAGGATTCAGTGACAGTTACTTGGGTTGTAGGAAGACAGCTGGTGACAGCTGGCGATCATCATGGCTGTCAATGCTGCTGTTCTTTGCTTAGTTCCATTTCCATGCATGTCAGTGCTGCAGCTGTGCTGATTAAGTGCAGAGGATAAATTCACTTGCTTGTTATTTCAGCCTCTTACAGATCCAGATACTGTTAATGAGTCTTCCTGGCAGAAACAAGAGGAGAGTTTGTTTGGGTTTTTTTAATCTTCTTTTTTTTTTTTCCCTCACCCTTTTGTAATTTCATTGATAAGAGGTAATTCTACAACTCAGTTTTCACTCCTGCTATAGTATCATGCTCAGCTGGGAAAGCTGCAAGTGAATGAATGCACATTGCATTCAGCTCTCAGGATTAGTTTCTTATCTGTCCATCTGCATCGCAGCACAAAATTAGAAAGCAGTCCATCCAGCATGGAACTCTGCCCTGCATTTCCCCTGACTGAGTTATTCAGTCCCCAAATTGTCAATTTTGTCATCTTTCAACTCTTCTTCCCAACCAACAAAATACATGTGAAAAGGAACTGCCTGCAGGCCATAAAAGTATAACTGCAAGTACTGAATCAAAGCTGACCTGAGCTTCCTGGTCTTTTCACAGCTTTCTTGCGAAACTCTGATGAAGCGCAGACCTTTTAGAAGTCAGCTCACCTGTGGCTTTCTCATCACCCTGCCAACACTGACTGTGGTATCATCTTTTATTTTCAGTTCACAGATTCTGAAACGTAAAACCCTCTTTCCATCTTACTCCCTGCCCACTACACTTGCCACCTGTCAGCTCTCACCTTACACAATCAGAATGCTCTTGAGGACTGGGACAGACTTGGCTCTGTACTGCCTCAAGTATGATGGAGTCCTGATTCTTTACTGAATTTCCTCACTGACTGGATAAATTCCATAGTTTGTGTTACGTAGGAGGTCAGCCCAGAACAGGCATTCCTAGATATTTTGGTTCATGAGTGAATGTACTTTCTTGCAAATGGCCAGCCACTGCTCCCTTTAAATTTGGGATGAGAATGGTATACGATCATACTGTTTCATGGGCCTGCTGTGAATCACTTACTTGCACCCTTCTGACTGCTGGTGGGCTGCAGAGCATGGTTAGGAATGCCAATGAAATGATCTAATTGTCCCACCTGGTTTTAAAATCTAGTGAGTGAGGCCTATGGGCATTACTTTAAATTTCATAGTTGTGCCCAATATGTTTAAGCAGCACAGAGGCTACTTCTAAGAGCCTTCAGAATGTATTTTGTGTCATGATGAATTGGTAAGAATGCAGTAAATAATGTGGAATGGGAATATTAACAGAGTATATGTTTTCCCCCAAAGCTCTGAAAGGCTCGATAAGGAAGGAATATCCCTGCTGCTCGTTGAGATACAGCTCCCAAAGACAATGATTCAGGACTGGGTCTGAGGGGTACTGTGTACAATGGAAGGCAATACTGAGAATTTTAGAATGTCAGAAGAAAGTCATTCCCAAATGGTAGGTGGGCCAAAACAGAAGTAGTGACAGTGTCCAAAAAGCGTCAGTGCAAGCTCCTTGCTTCTGTGTTTTGCCCAAATGGTGGTGCCTCTGTTGACACAAACCTCTCAATTGCCCTGCAGATTAAACACGGGCTGTTACCAGAGAGGAGTATGATACCAGATTAATCGCTGCTTGCTCCAGAGTTTGGCTTGTATTTTTCATGTTGGCTCAGCTTGGTTTGGCTTGCGTTTTCATCGCTACTGTGATTACATTCCCAGCTGGGTCCATAGGTACCATTGGAAAGGGATAATTCACATTCTTCACCATGGTGTAATTTACAGATTCCTGACTCTTAGGCTGTAGTCTTCTGTGTGAGATAAGGAGTAGGGGAAGAGGAGGGCATGGAAGATGACTTCATTTGGACTTTAATTCTCACCTTCCCAAGGTGCAGGCTTTGTTTCTAACAGTTTGCTGGCTGCTGCAGAGCTGCTCGGGGAAGGTAACCAGATGTCTGCGTTTTGCCTCTACTGTCTGGAATACAGGATGGTACCCAGTGTCCTGCTGAAAATTTCTACAGGGTTGGTTTTTTTCTGAATTTTGTTTGGGTCACGAGACTTTCCTTGTCTCTCCCTTTCAGTGATATCCAGCACTGAGGCAGAGCCTTAGTAGAGCGGGGGCAATCCTGCACCCATGACACCTAAAAGGGATGTGCCACCATATTCTGCAGGATGTTTCTTCTGTTACAAGCTCCTTAAAGAAACTTAAGCAGTGAGTTTTCTCAAGGGGAATATTTTCCATAAGGAAATATCACAGCCTGACTGTCTGTAGTCTGTCTGACATTTTAAATATCTAGTTCTCAGAGTTCATCTTCCTTCTCATTCAGCTATTCACTATGTGAGAGATGCCCCCTACTCCTGTTAGACAGCACTATAAAGAGCATGATATCCTGGAGTTAAAATCTCTCCCATCAAAGGCTGAAGAACAAACTGTTATTTGTGGTTGCTCTCCTGAGAAATGGCTTCTCTCTCTCTCTCCCTCCCCTCCCTCCCTCTCCTCCCCTCTCTTCTCCCTGTTGAACTAGGCAGTGCAGTTGCAATTCTTGCATTTAGCTGGTTGATTGTAGCTCAAATAGCAGATTTTACTTCTCTTGGCTTTACTCTGATCACTTTGTCATCTCAAGATGCTAGAGATATGCCGTGTCTTACTCTGAAAGGCTATGCTCTCAGGCATTTGTATTCCATTCCGTTCTCCAGAGATGCTTATGCTGTACACCTCATCACATTGGGTGCCTTCCAGTGGTGCACCAAGTGAGGTGGCTAACATCTGTCACTCTTTCTTTTTGAACTCCTCACTTTCCCTGGGGGAAAAGAGTGTGCCAATGAAGTTTTGCTTTGGTAGAATGTTTTGGCTATGGACTTTTTCTTGGAAAAATTTGGAGTGATTTATTTTGGTGTGTTTTTTCAAAAAAATTCAACTTGTTCTTGGAAAGGCACAAGAAGAGTTGAGTGGTGGTCCTAGTTTCTGGAGTGTAATCGAGAGCATTGGGAAGGCTCATTTCATAGATTTGAATCAGCCTGTAAGAAATGCTGATTT